GCTGGGGGGGGGGGGGGGCGGGGAGGAAAGTCTCAGCTGACTCGGAGGCAGGAGGAGGTTCGGCGTTACCGAGCTGCCTTGAGCGATGTGAGAGATTATGAAGGGACCGAACGCCTGAAGCATTTACGTCTTACCCTCTCCTCCTCCCTCCCCCTTCTCTTTCTCACCACCGACGCTGGTCTTTCAAATCGAATTCCAATGCCGCCCAGACCCTCCACACCCGATGCTGCCAATCTGTCAGCTCCCTCCTCCTCCTCCTCCTCCTCCTCCTCCTCCTCCCAGTCTCTGCTGACCCACCATTTCCTCGTTGAAGAACTACGATTCTCTCATTCTGCTCGCCTGACGGGGCCTGAGAGGGCTAGGAATAGACAGGTCAGCGAGGAGGAGGAGGAGGAGGAGGAGGAGGAAGAGGAAGGCGGATGATGGTGATGATGATGATGATGAGGAGGAGGAGGAGGAGGTAGTGATTTTGAAGGGAGTTGGGAAGATTGGAGGGACTTTCGTGGTCGGGAGGGACGGGAGAGAGTCGGGGGCAAGAGGAGCAGGAAGACCGACAGGATTCGTTGCCGCAGGAGGCGGAGGAGAGATGCTGAGGAAGTGCAGGGGAGAAAACGCCTCTGCTCAATGTCAGCTCCTCGACCTCTCAAGCTCCTCGACCTCTCAAGCTCCTCGACCTCTCAAACTCCTCGACCTCTCAAGCTCCTCGACCTCTCAAGCTCCTCGACCTCTCAAGCTCCTCGACCTCTCAAGCTCCTCGACCTCTCAAGCTCCTCGACCTCTCAAGCTCCTCGACCTCTCAAGCTCCTCGACCTCTCAAGCTCCTCGACCTCTCAAGCTCCTCGACCTCTCAAGCTCCTCGACCTCTCAAGCTCCTCGACCTCTCAAGCTCCTCGACCTCTCAAACTCCTCGACCTCTCAAGCTCCTCGACCTCTCAAGCTCCTCGACCTCTCAAGCTCCTCGACCTCTCAAGTCACCTGCCACTCCCTTCTTCTCCGGTTTCTCACGCAGCTGCCGATCTTGTTTAGCACCAGGCAGGGATAGGGAGGAGAGGAGTGAAGAAAAGGAGGAAGGAGGAGGAAGGGAGTGTAAGGAGCAGGGATAGGGAGGAGAGGAGTGAAGAAAAGGAGGAAGGAGGAGGAAGGGAGTGTGAGGAGCATCACCGGGAAGAGGAAGGAGAGGCAGTCCCTGTAGTACAGGAGTCAAGCAGCTGCCAGGCATCAGACTATCACGTACCGAGGAGCATAGAGCTCTCGCGCCTCCTCGTGCGTCAGGAGACCAGCCGGTCGCTCCTGCCCCTCCCCTTCTGATCTCGACCAGAGGTCTGCCCGAGCTAGGAGGAGCTCGAGCTCCTCCACATGCATCTACTCTCTTTTCATCTCTCCTCTCACTCCTCCACCAACATCAGGACCTTCAGTCGCACGTTCTCATCCGCGACGGCCTCAGCATCTTGAACCTGAGGAGCAGAGTAACTCTCTCCTCCTCCTCTCCTCCGTCCCTCCCACCAGGGCCTGCAGGTCTTGGCATCGGACTTGAAGCTCATACGACCCACGTGCAAGTTCGATGAACTCGATTCCTCCCCTGCCACAGGAGAAGTTAAGAGCGATGCTAGGAAAGGGGAGGGAAGGGGTCTTACCGCATCAGATTGAGCGAGAAGGTGAAACCTTCAGTGCTTTTCGCTTGTGCAGCCAACGGGATGGCGGGAAGGACTCTTGGCTCGCTCCTCTCCTCCTCCCCGGATGTCCGTAAGAAGGTGAGAACGACGTAGGAGCCCTCGGGGCCCTGAAGGAGAAGTAAGAGAAAAGAAGCAGCCGAGGTAGGGAGAAGAGGAGGAGAGAAGAGAGGGAGCGACGAAAATGAGGACGAAGGCGAGGAGAAGGAGGAGGGGGAAGGGAGAGGGGAAGAGGGAGGGAGTCACCGTCAGCTGCTCTTCCTTGGGTGGACTGACGCCATCGATCATGACGAGCTCGTCCCCAGGCAGAATGACTCCACTTTGCTGCCATGCATGCGGGTGAGAGGGAAGGCGACGAGAAGGAGGGAGGGAAGGAGAGAGCTTCGAGGGGAGGGAGGAGGACTCACAGCGGCTGCGCATCCTGGCACAAGAGCTCTGACAACGAGAGCGTCGGAGAAGTCGTGGAAGATGATGCCGACGCCAGTGCTGAAGAGAAAAGGATCAGAGAGGAGGAGGAGAGGAGAGTTTAGGGTTTAGGGTTGGTGGGAGATGAGGGAGAGGGAGATGGAGAGGGAGAAGATGAGGAGTAGAAGGTGGTGGTGTCTGATTGTGATCGCTCGATAGGCCTCGCCTGATGCTCCCGTCCTGCTGCTCTTCCTCTTGACTTTGATCTTCGAAGTCTACAGTGCCACCCTGAGAGAAGAATCAGATGGAGGGAGGGAGGGAGGGAGGGGGCCGGGGAAGAGAGGGAGGGAGGGAGGAGGGAGGGAGGGAGGGAGGGAGGGGGCGGGGGGGGGGTTGGGGGTTGGAGGGAGGTGCAACATTCACGTCTGGTCTCTGATTATCCTTGAAGATTGGCTGTAATGAAGCTCGCATGCTGTAGAGCAAGTCAAACCCGATCTCAGGTGAAGCATGAGATTAACTCAAAAGATCATATCCTCCTCCTCTCTTGATCAGCATCGAAGAACATTCCAGAGGAAGCCTTCTGTCGTCTCCTTCTTTCGCCTGATCTTCCTTCACTCGCAACTGCTGGATACCTCTCATCGTTCTGCTCCTTGATGCTGCCTCAGGCTCTTCCTCGTTTCATATGTTACCGTTTTCCTCGGTTCTTTGTTGTCCCAGGCAAGATGACATTCTTCTCTCCTCTGCCTGTTCCATCCGGTCCTGCTCCTCTTCTCTTCTCTTCACTTCTCTTCTCTTCTCTTCTCTTCTCTTCTCTTCTCTTCACTTCTCTTCTCTTCTCTTCTCTTCTCCTCTCTTCTCTTCTCTTCTCTTCTCTTCACTTCTCTTCTCTTCTCTTCTCTTCACTTCTCTTCTCTTCTCTTCTCTTCTCTTCTCTTCTCTTCTCTTCTCTTCTCGAGTGTCTCGATCGGCCATGCGTGTCTTTGTCAAACCTTCAAATCCCTTGAAAGCCGTTACTTTCGGTTATGTCGATTATTTCAGTCACTCTGCTACCGTTATTTGGCGGTTGATAGTCCTCATCCCCGCTCATCCCCTTCTTTCTTGCGATGAGTCACAGCAGGTACTATGAAGATGGCTGGAGGAGGAGGAGGAGGAGGAGGACGAGGACGACGACGACGACGACGAGGAGGAGGAGACACATGAAGAATCAAACGAAGAACAAGGATTGTGAAACGAGAAAGAGAAGAAGAAAGAAGACGAAAAGATAGCTAGTTGGAAGCTAACGCATTGATCCGACGTATCATGGTTTTCATGATACATCACAAATGATACATCACAATGAGAAGTGTTGAAGCAAGTGAATTTGAGATACCCGATGTTATCAACATGAAAGATTGGTTGGATCATAACGAGCTTGCAAATGAAGACAGGAAGTGTATCAATGCATTGAGAACAAGTGCGATAACCCGGACAAGACGAGGAGCGAGGTTACAAGATGAATGGAGGAGGGAGGAAGTATCCGACCTGCTCCAATCACTCAACCCACTCAGAAGAAGAGATATGGTTGGAAGCGGAGAAGTAGCAAGTGTGTAGCAGCAGCGGAGCAGCAGCATGATCAGTAGCAGCAGCAGTTTTCACTTGTCTGCCGAATCATTCCTGGTCTGACAAAGAGAGGAGGAGGAGGAGGAGGGAGTATCTGTAAGTAGGTGCGAGACATGAGAGCATGCGACCTGATGGTCCGAACGAAAGAAGGTGAGACTAGGCAAGGACAAGGACAGGAAGTTGAGATGAGGACAACACACCTGTAGAGAGATGCAACACGAGCTATGAAAATAGACTAGGGGATGAAGTGGAAGCGGAAGGAGGGGGCGGAGGGAAGGAGACCGAGCAGATGGCTTCATTACTGCGCTCACTGTGTTAGCAGGAAGGCGAAACAAGAGGACCTGAAGAGAGAAGGAAGACCCAGGAGGAGCGCGAACAAACAGGAGCAGCAGAGGTGAGGGAAACAGCACAGGCCCTGCTGGGGTCCTGACGGGAGAGCAGGCAAGAGGAGATGTCGTTCGGAGACGTGCACCGGGATGGCCTCGGGCAGAGGCGAGTGAGGATGAGGCGACTGCAGAAGAGCTGAGGGGACGTGATGGCAGGAGCAGAGGCGGCGGCAAGTTGGACGAGAGCATGGCGAACAACGAGTTCACCTCTCAGGTCCGGCAATTAGAGGAGAACGACGATCAAGAGAGGAGGAGCATGGAGAGGAGGAGGAGGGGGGGGGGGGGGAGGGGAGGGGAGGGGAGGGAAGAAGCAGGAGGAGGACGAGAGTACCAGCTTGATGCAGGCAAACCTGGCAAGAGGGAACATCCAGCAGCTGCTGAGCAACATCAACTCGGTTCAGCGACTGTCGTCAGCAATCGGGACGGGGAAAGACACGGCAAGATGAGAAGGAGGAGGCGACATGCTCTTACAAGGCTGACAGCATGACCTGCGGGAGAAGCTTCACAAGGTGATTGAAGAGACCAAACTTCTCTCACAAGACACAAAGGTACGATGAGGCTGCTGCTCTCTCTCCCTCTCTCCCTCTTACCCGCCTTTCCTTCCCTTCCTCTTACCCTTCATCCGCACGTCCTCCTTCCTCTCCTCCTTTCCTTGTCTCTCTTTCCTCTCCTTGTTTCCTTGTCTCTCTTTCCCTCTCCTTGTTTCCTTGTTTCTCCTTCCTCGTCTCACTTTTCCCCTTGTCGCAACCTCAGGGGATCATAAAGGATTTGACCCAAATAGCAAACGGAAGTTACCAGGGCAGCGGGTCAGGATCGCAACGACACAAAATAGAAGTGAGAAGGAGATCTGCTTTACTTGCTCGCTCCCTCCCTCCTCGCTCCCTCGCTCTCCTGCTGCAGTTTCTCCTGATCCCCGTGATGTCTGTCTCAGTCCTTGTAGCTCGTCGCTTCCTCTCTTTCTCCCCTCATTTCTTTTTTCAGTCTCGGAAACTTTCAGATGATTTTCAGAAAGCCCTTCAGAGATTTCAAGAGGTGACGCCTGCAACCTCTCCCCGTATCCTCCTCCTCTCTCCTCCCCTGCCCTCGCTCCCCCTCCTTCTTTCCTCCTCCTCTTGCTTAGCCGTACTTCAGGTGGTTCGCACGACCCTCCAGAAGGAGCGAGAGAGCGTGGCGAGGGCAAAGCAAGCGAGGGAAGCAGACGAAGTAAGCACGAGGACACAGAAGCTGCTCCCCGCCCTCTTCTCTTCTCTGCTCTTCCTCCTCTTGTGCTTGGCTGCTCTGACCTCACAGCAGGAGGACGAGGAGCGCGAGGGGCTGTTGGAGCGGCAAACCGAACGATCTCTTCAGTTCATGCAGGTGAAGCTCCACTGCCCGAATCCTGTTGCCTCCTCGTCGCTCCCGCCCTCTCTCCCTCTCTCTTCCTCCCTTTCTCCTCGTCCAGCTGTCTGTTTGCCATATAGCGGGTTGGCTGTACTGGGGTAGGAGCCTGACTCGATCTTTTCTCTTCCTCTCTTCAGGACGATCAAGAACTTCAGTTTACGGAGGCGCTTATCTTCGAGCGGCAGCAGGTGATGATGATGATGATGATGATGATGATGATGAGGAGGAGGAGGAGGAGGAGGAGGAGGAGGTGGTGGTGGTGGTGGTGGTGGTGGTGGTGGTTGGAGTGGGGTGGGGTGGGGTGGGGGCTGAAGAGGTGGCAGGGGATCAAAGACATCGAGAAGAACGTCAACGATGTCAATGAAATCTTTCGCGACCTTGCGATTCTTGTTAGGTACTGTCTGCTCCCCTTCCCCTCCTGCTCCCCTTCTTCTCTCGCTCCCCTTCCCCTCCTGCTCCCCTTCTTCTCTCGCTCCCCTTCCCCTCCTGCTCCCCTTCTTCTCTCGCTCCCCTTCTTCTCTCGCTCTCCTTCTTCTCTCGCTCTTCCTCCACCTGCTTCCCTTTCTGACTTGTCTTTCCTCCTCTCCTCTCACTGTCCGCAGCGATCAAGGTCACATGCTTGACGACATCGAGTCCGGCATCGTCAACACGGCAGCCCATGCTGAGAGCGCGTCTGAGTGAGTTTCTCAGCTCATGAACATGCCCCAGCTGACTGTCAGCAGGGAGCTGAAGAAGGCGCAAGCCAACCAGAAGCGAGCCCGAAGAACGCTCTTCTGCCTCATCACGGTGAACCTTTCCACTCCCTCCCTCCTCTCGCTCACGAGGCTTCAGGTTCTTGTGCTTGTCGGGGCGCTTGTCATTCTCATAGTCACCAAGACCATCTGACCGTCTTGATAAACTCAAACTGATCACGTCACTTGTTTTCACCCCGCGCGTTCCCAAGTTCCCAACTGCCGTCAAGCTTCTTCAAGTACTGTGTCACAGCCTGCCCGGCCCCCGCCGCGCAGCTGAATGCGGCACCGACACTGACGGGCCGCCGGCGACCCCCCGGCCGGGCGATGAGCCCGGCGGCCGGGCCCGTGTCACTCACTCGCCGGATATCAATATACTTACTGTGCCAGCCGCGGCGCCCGGGCCGGGGCTGAGGGGGCCTAGACAGTAACGAACATACAACGGTCAAGGAGCCGGGTGGTGAAAAAGTCAAGGGTTGGGGTGGTCATTATTAAATCAATGCGACTATGGGGTGGGGTTATTTCATAATTCATTTGGAAGATCTGAGCAGGGTGGGTAGTATTATTTCATTATAGTGGGGGTGGGTCTGCTGCCCCTTCACGAAAAGATGCTGCTGATCAAATTCGCCCCCAAGCAGGTAAGAGGAGGAGGATGGAGATGATGATGATGAAGATGATGAAGATTGTGATGGTGATGATGATGATGATGATGATTATTGACACGAGAATGAATACGACGAAGATGATAGAGTTGAAATTGTATGTAATGATTGTGACGGTGGTGAATGTCATAATGATGAGATGATGGAAAACAAGAAGGCCAGATAGGAGGCTGTGCAGTAGGAGGAAGAAGAGAAGCATACAGAGTAGCTTCTTCTAAAGAAACGTATGATGGTCGGGTGGACTTGTTTACGCAGGGCGCTGTCACCCCGGAGTAAAGATTGAGAAAGTATAGGAGAGAAGGAGAAGGAGAGGAAGACATTGGTTGAGGGGATACGTCATCGAGCATTCAAGGGGTCAGCATGAGAAGATAGAAGGATTGGTACGAGAAAAGACGAGGTCTGATAAGGAGAGTGAAGGATGAGGGAAGTATTGAGAGATAAAAACAAGTTGGAACATGTTTATGCATGAACGGTTTATAATTTCATTCGACGTGTCGATGTGTTGTTAGTGAGCGAAGCTGCCTGTCTGCTCGTTGGTGGTTGTTGTCTCCTCATGTTGTTGCAGATGCTCTACACCAACTGGCCCTCTACCGGCAACTCTTTCGATGGAGCGTTTGGAGGATACGATGATGTGAGGGAGGGGTGGGATGAGGAGTCAAGTGACATCAGTCGCAGTCTGGTCTCTTTGGCGTGAACAGCAACTACAACTCTGAGGACACCATTGGCGATGACTACGATGGAGATCTCCGTGAGTGCACTAGCTAACCTCCTTCCTGCTTGCCTCCTTCCTGCTGGCCTCCCTCCTTGTTTCTCGTCTCCTTCCTGCTCCCTCCGTGTTTCTCGTCTCCTCCTTCTGGTCTCTTCAGTTTCTCGTCTCATCTCGCTGCAGGCCCCCGCGCTGTCTGGCGCCCTCACGGCATCTAATTACATTTACTGGTAATGAACAGAAAGAGAAACGAGCGAGACTTGAAGTGAAGCTGTGATGAGAAGCCAAGTAGCGACATGTGAGGGAGAGCACGAGAGGGGAAGACAGTGAGGGAAGACAGTGAGAGAAGACAGTGAGGGAAGAATGCGAGAACAGCAGGACAGGCAATTACAGACCAGGAAAGGGCAACGTTGGAGAAAGGGAAGGGATGAAGATGTCACTATCAGCCCTCATTCATGTCGACCATCCCAGCAATGCCATCAACAAGCGAGAGAACTTCCTGATTCGTCTGCCTCCTCGTCATCCTCCTCCTCCCAATCCCATCTTCACCTGTTGCATCCTGACCAACGCACACGCGATGGCCTGCGTGAGCCTCAGTTGCGACGCAGCAGCAGCAGAAGCAGAAGGAGGAGGAGGAGCAGCAGCAGTGCTCGCCTTTGAGACGACGCAGGCGAGGGGATGAGGCAGCTGAGGGAGAGGAGAGTGAGAAGCTGAGCGAGGCAGGAGAGCCAAACACCGCGGGGAGGAGGGCAGAGAGCATCTCGCTTGTGGCGCTTCTTGTCTGCGAGGGACGTCAGCGCGTCTTCTTGCTCGCTCGTAGTCACCGCAGGAGCAGCGAGGAGAAGATGAGCCACTAGCTCCGCGACGGCGTTGAGGCTGACCCACGCCTGTCGGAGAGAATCTGTGATGAGAGAGAGCAGGAGAGGAAGAGGGTGAGAGTGAGAGGAGGTGGGGACGGGGAGAAGAGGAAGGATAGCGCATCAGTGATGCAGGATCCTCTTACCTTGTGCTGGGGTCCATCCGTCATCCCTCCTGGTTCGCTGAGTACATGTTGGAGGCCCTGCTGGACTTGAGCAGGAGAAGTCTGAAGCTCAGCTTGCCTTGTGCAGTCCCCTCTGTGCAGTCTCGACTAGCTCCTGCTCTCCTCAGTCACTCCTCCTCCTCCTCCTCCTCCTCCTCCTCCTCCCCTTCTCCCCTCCTTGCTGCACTACGTCGTTCTCTCTCTCTTCCACTCCCTCTCCTCACTCTCCATGCCTCTCTTTCAATCACTGACCGAACACAGCGGTGGATGAGCAGCCGCCGCCCGGCTGATCAGCCAAGGATGCGTCCTCAGCCTCATGCTCCTGTGCACTTGTCAGTCCTCGTCCTCGTTCCCCCACCGTCTTCTTTCTCCCCTCCTTCTCCTCTGCACCCGCACGAGGCAGCGGACCTAGTGGCTCTTCTCACCTCAGCGAAGCCTCGCATGTCAGTCCCCACAGCCTGTCGCTGAGCCACTGGGGGAGTGAGGGCCAAGGCTGTGAAGTATCTGATCCAGAGATGGTGAGGGCAGGGAAGAGAGAGAAGAAGAGAAGGAGGAAAGGAGAAGAGGGAAGAGGGCAAAGGAGGGAGAAGAAGAGAAGGAGGAAAGGAGAAGAGGGAAGAGGGCAAAGGAGGGAGAATGTTAGGATGAAGGGAATGCGAAGGGGTGAAGGCGAGAGGAAGTAAGAGAGGTGAGGAGATCAAAGGGACGAAGAGATCTAGAAAGAGACCAAGCGAGGGGAGGAGCAGACACCAGAGCAGCACGTCCAACAGGCCAGGAGGATCATGCTGCGAAGTCTTAGCAAGGAGAAGAAGAGGAGAAATCACCTGCTGGCTGATGAACGATGCCATCTTCGCTTCCATCGCCTCCACGAGCTTCTCCGACTCCTCTCTCGTCCTCTCCCTCTCACACAGTCTGCGCCGCAACTTCTCTCCTATCAGTATCTTGCAACGCACGCAGGAGGAGGAGGCAGGAGGAGGAGGAGGAGGAGGAGGAGGAGGAGGAGGAGGAGGAGGAGGAGGGAGGAGAACTTTTTGCCTCTACTCCTCCTTCTTTTCCTCACCAGTTTGCCGAGCGCTCGACACTTGATGGTGGAGGAGTGCAGTAGGAAGCTCGAGCTCGGATCGCGCAACTGCAGTTTGGCCTGGTGGAGGGCGCTGCAGCATGCGAGCAGGAGATCCACTTGCGCCTGTTGCCTGACATGATGCGAGCACGCGGAAGAGGAGGAGGGAGGAAGGAAGAAGAGCGGGGGGAGGAAGACAAAGCTACGGCGAGGGGTCGAGGAGGTGAGGAGAGGGAGGGGGAGACCTGTTGGCGGAGAGCAAGGAGCAGATGCTGTGAGGCCTACGACAGGACGAGCTCAGCTCCAGTCCCTCTGCAGTGCATGCACCTTCTCTTCGATCAGAGCTTCCCATCCTCCTTCCATGGACTTGTTGACATGAGCAGCAGTTCAGGCTCCTCCTCCTCCTCCTCCTCCTCCTCCTCCTCCTCACCTCAGCTTCCATCTGCGCCAGTTCATAGAGGGAGGTCGTGAAGATGCTGCTCTCAAACCGGCCGAGAGGAGTCCGAGAATCTAAAAGACTGTAAATACCTTCTCCCTCCTCCTCTCCTCCCGTGTTCATCCCTTGCGCCTCCTCCATCCCCTCCCCCTCCTCACCGCGCCATCTTTGCTTCCAATCGAACTGCACGTTCTTCACGATCGCATCCAACTTCACATCGGTGAGCAACCCGATGACTATGATCTTCATTACCAGCACCCAACGGGCTCCTTCTCCTCCCTCTCCAGCAACCAGCGGGAGGATCCGCCGCCTCCTCCTCCTCACGCTCAGACCCTCTGCCTCCATTCGCCTCGTGATGCCTTCCTCGACCTGACCGACGGCTGGGCATCAGCATGCAAGAGGGACCAGGCAGCGAGCATTTCGCCCACCTTCTCCCTCATCGAGCAGAGAACCATTCTTGCTCGTTCCTTCTTTATAGTCAGAACTGCTCCCTCTCCCTCCTCCGCCCCCCTTCCCGATTTCAAATCCACTGTCCTCCTCCTCCTCCTCCTCCTCCTCCTCCTCATCATCATCATCATCATCATCATCTTTCTTCAAACATCTTCCTGCGGCTGCCTGCGCCCCCTCTGCTCCAACCTCCAGTCTCTTCGACCAGGCCATTGCCCTTCGGAATTCCTCCTCGTTCCACTGTTGACGTCGTCAGCGGCTACAGCAGCGACGGCAACGCTTGACACCTCCTTGACTATTCGATCCGTTCGCCCCACGACAGAGACCATCTTGACAAAGACTGACCCGACTGTCAGGGTGCGTCGAGACAGGGGCAAGAGGACGCGAGCCAGACGTGACGAACAAGGAGGGAGAGGGGAGGAGCAAGACATGGGAGGTGTGAAAGGAGGCAGCACCGATCACATCATCCTCCAGCTTTCGGAGAGACGCAGAGTCAACTGCGTCTGTTTCACCTGCAGGGCATTCAGCTTCAACCTCTCGCCCACCTCTGCTCCTCTCTCCTCATGCAGCCGCTCCTCCTCATGTCTCGAGCATCTCAGAAACAGCTCTTGCTACAACCTCGTCGTGCTCCCCCTCATGCCATAGCCGTCTCTCCCTCATCGCTCTTCTCTCCTCACCTTGCTCGTTTTTCTCCAGCTTCGAATCTTGCATGAAATCCACAAACTGAAATAGCTGGAAGAGCTCGAAACGCAGCGAGCTCACCATGATTCTGGTTTAATAATAAAATTTAAACCTTGTACCAGGTTTTAATTATGTACATCCCTCATCCGTACAGATATTGGTCCGTCAAGGAAAGTGACCGAGGGCCTTTTATAAGTAGTTATATAAATTTACTAGTATTTTAAAAGGTAAACCAGGTACTGCAGGGAGGAAAACGTGACGTCATCAACGGGCAGTCGTGCAGGGCCGAGCCGCACCAGCTAGCATATCTACGAGGGCCCCGTACTATGTCGGTACCATTCTTGCTGGTTGTATCGACGTACAAGGAGCTAAAAAGATCTTTATATATATCCGATACTACTAATATTATAAATATGGATTATTGCAGGTACAAGTCTACTGGGGCTGCGACCTTTTTGACCATCTTAAATCTTTGTAAAGCGATCAGTAGGAATAACACCTCAAAAGAGGGGTCATGGTACATAGCTGGTTAATTGTTGTATTTTTGATTTTTTATGTTTTAAAAATTAAATTCGCCCGAACTCCTCCCGTCCCCTCATGTCTCCCGGTACAAAATCAGCAGAACCCGGCCCGATCCCCACCCCTACCCTCTCATTACCACCCACCCCTGATAAACCACCCCTGTTCCCCTACACAGAACCCATAGTCATTGAGTTATAATGACAACCCTACCCCATATTTTCCCAAAATCAACAACCCACCCCTCACCCCACCCCCGCGTAAGTCAACGGTTGCCCTTGACCCTATCGTGACCACCCCTTCTTTCGGAGCTATCAAAAGCCAGGACCCTCGTGACCCCGGGCGGATGTGAACTGCCCTACCCCCTTCTTTTAAACCCCAGCCAAAATAGAACTACCCCACCCTCCCACTCCTCCTCAAAATTCACTCATCACAGTCTATTATTGTAACATCCTCAGGAGAATTAAAAATATGACCCTGACCCCCCATCTCCCCGTACCCCCTCTAGATATACCTAGCAAAGGAGGCGCGGTCGACCTTTTGCCCTGCTCCACCCCTACCCACTCCTTTACGTACAAGTACCCCTATATTCATACCTCCTTTTACCTCCCCGGCAGTCTGTCGTGCCCGTATCCACCAAAAATGTTTAAAAAGGACCCCTGTCCAGATGACCCCCACCCACCTCATATCTTTTGTCACCCACATTCTGACTGTCACCCCCCACCCACCTGGTCTTGCTGCCTCTGTTGCAGGGGGTCCACAAAGGTCAGTTGCCTACCCCCTACCCAGGTGTATTGGATGGGAGGAGGAGCTGGAGGGTAGGGGTGGACTATGGTGCTTCTGCCTGCCACCCACATCCACAAAAATATCACTACCCCACCTACTCTTTGTTCACATTCCTCCTACCCCTATCTTTTAATTTTAATCGAACCCACCCACCCACCACATATATTCCCCCAAAACTACCTGAAAATTGCGTCACTACCCCAACTCCCCAATAACCCACCATGATCCGACTCTCTTGTTGAACACATGTACCCCCTTATTACCCATGACCCTACCCCCCTTTTTGAAAGATCAGTACCCCTCGCCCCTCACTACGAGCCCCTACCATCTCTTTCTCCTCCCTTGCCTGCCCGCCTGCTCCTCCAGCACCTCTCCCCCACCTCCGTATTCCTCCTCCCCCTCTTCCCCCTCCCCCCCCCCCTCCTACTCCCCCTCCTACTCCCTCTCCTCCTCCCTCCTCCTCCCTCTCCCTCTCCCATCCTCCTTGCATCCTCCTCCTTTCATCAGGACCTTGCCATTCCTCCTGCTCTTTGTCGGATTAGACCGTTCAGCCCCTCCTCCGACCAGCGCTGGTACCAATCAATCAAGCCTTGCCCTTCCTCCTGCTCGTTGTATACTGGATGCATCCCAAGTGCCATTGATCCAAACAGGTCCTTCGAATCTCAGCTGCCCCCACGTCTACTGCCACATCCACAGCTTGTATTTATTCAGAGAACAGAACATGAAGAATTCTGAGGTTCCGGCTGATAATCTAAACGACCCTTGTTTCCAGCATTCCCACAACTCAGCATTTTCGCGATTTCCAAGGAAAAATGATAGTTCAGATGCGAGCGTTTGCGCTGGAGAACAATTTTCCTGCGAGAAATTAAGATTAAAATGCAGCAATGAAGCAATGCTTCTTTGCTCTTTTGCTCTGTCTGAAGCCATGTCCAACAGCAAGAGATTGCACGAAGGCGACAAGGACACGCTGACAGATGCGATAAATACAGCATGTGACTCTGCGCTAAAGATTGTTTTAGACCCACAAAGTATCTACGGAAGCAAGTCAACCGTTCTTTCTCGAGCCGAGCTGACTGATCATGCGGTGGCGATTCACCTCCTCGAGTCTCTCATTGGTGTCAACCCGAATGTCACGCAGCTCGAATCAAGCTCTGTCAAAGAACTTATCGCGGAAGTCCGAAAAGCAGATGTATATTATCACGAGTCTGTTGTGCAAATGAATCAGGCAAAGAAGCAACTGGAATACTTGCTTTCACTGCAAGAGAAGAAGCTTAAAGAACCAAGCTTGTCTGATTTTGCGCTGCTGAAAACTCGTATACGCCGTCAGCAGTCGATTGTGGACGAAACATCTAAGACGATGCTGGAGAGATGGGAATTGCTGTGCTTGTTTGTCAAGTCCAAGGTGGTTCGTATTGTCTTAGATAGGCTGGCTCAGGTATTGCGCGAGACACTTACGTGGCAAGTCTTGACATTGTTGCAGGAGTGTCAGATCCGACTGCTACGTGGACAAACCTCCTGCTTCGTTGATCAGTGTCGGTACGCTTGTAATCATCCTGAAGGCTTGCACACTAATGCTCTGCAGCAAAATACAACAGTCGTATGATTCGCAGAAGAAGACATGGAACGTGAAAGATGTAATACGCCTTGCCTTGTTCTGCTGTCGGTTCTGATTTGCGTCAAGCAGAATCAACAGGAGCTTTTTATAAGCATGAATCGTTGGAAAGATGCCCTTGTCGGTTCCATCCACTCAGAATTGGAGAAGCTGGAGGTTCGTCCGTATTTGCCGTCCTCTCATGGGTCTCATCTTGTCCCTCAGTCGGATAAGCTCGAAGAGTTCGCTACTGTTGTGTTGAAAGCTTCGGCGGGCGAGAGCTTGGCTAAGGTGAGCTTTCCTGTGTCTTTGCTCGAATCGACCTGACAACGAGTTAGGTGCGACCGGCATCGCGAGAGGAGATCCACAACCTCAAGTCCTTGTCTGTATGCCCCTCCGATAGCGACGTGACCAGGGTACAAAGTTGCGCGTCACAAGAAGCTGAGACCCCTGACGAGGACGAGGAGGGCGAGGAAGAGGTCCGAGGCTTCACGAGAAGTGTCTCATCCTCCAGCAAGGCGTCAACCACTTGCAGCTCGAGGGAGGAGTACTGGGGCGATGTCGTTATGCTTGTCAGGGAGAAGAACGACAAGCTCAATCGACCGGGAAAGGTTGAGCTAGGGGGACTGGCGGAGCGAAGGTATAAGAAAGAGGCTTGGTTGGGTAGCATGAACTCGATGTTGTGTGGCGTCCACACGATCCCGTTGAGTGCTGAGCTGTTTCCGGCATGCTCCAAGACAAAATCGTCAAAGGCGTGTGAGCTCGAGTCATTTAAGTTGAAGCAAGGCTGCAACAGGACGCGAAGTGTGGGCCCACCAATGGGGCCGGAGGAACAATCGACAGAGAACAAAGATAGCAAGGGGGAGGGGTCAAAAGGATCGGACATTGCGGGGCAGAAAAGAAGTCTGGCAGAAGCTTGTGAGGTGCCTTGTGAAGTTTCAAAGAGAGCGAGGGAGGATTGAAGGTAAGGGAGGAGGCAGTAAGGAAGTTTGTTTAATCATATTGTTGCGCTATGAAAGTTTACATGCATCAAGTTTCTGTCGGGCTGAGCCTTTCAAGTGCGTTTGCGATCATTCGTATCAGAATCTCCACCGCCTCCTTCTCGTCCTCGCTCTCTGTGCTCCTGCAACACCTTCACCTATCCCACACCTCCTCTCCCTCCCTCCCACCTGCTCATTCGCAGCTCCAGCACCCCGACGGTTCGTGTGCCTGACTTAACGGGCTCGTACTGTACACGCCTGCCGCCCTCCACCTGGCCCAGCTGTCGCTCGCCTGACAAGGCGGCTTGTCCTGCGGCAGGTGAGGGAGGAGCAGCGGCAGGCGACGCTACCGATGGCCGTCGCCGAGTGCTCGTCTAGGCTCAGACTCCGCCGCCCATGCGAGGCCGAGCTGGAGGCCAGGAGGCCCTCCTTGCTGTCATACACCCACAGCTTGCACGTGTGAGCGCCTGTGACCCGAGGGCCCCAGCTCAAGACCAGCTCACTGAACCAGGCGTGAGTCAAGAAGCTTCAAGCGGCGACGAGGCACCAGAGCGAAGTCTCGTCCAAGCAGGCCAGACTGTCGACTGCCATGCGGCTCAAGTCCATGAAGCGGCTCCTGCCATGCTCGAGCTGCTGAGCATGAGCTGCCTCTGCCACAGAAGCTGCGAGTTGGGGAGAGAGGGAGGCCAGGAGGGAGGCGTCAGCCTGGGAGAACACTCCTGCTCTCTTGTTGATCGCCTGCACAACCGCAACAACTCGCTCGCAGCCGTCGACAGCTCGGCAGCACAGCATGTTGCGACAAGGCTTCCCCAGGATGGAGACTTTCTCGACCTCCTGCAACTTCTCATGCTCGACGCTGCTAAAGTTCGTCACTCCCTGACGTGTCGCTGCTCGACCGGCCACTCCCTGCCCGATGGGGAACGAGACGAACGTTCCCTGCAGCTCTTCTTGCATCCGGCGAGCATGTCCCAGCTTCAGCTTCAGCTCCCTCCTCTCGCTCTCCTCCTGCTCAACCTCTCTGACTCTCGCCCTACTCCCCTCCTCTCACTCGCTCACCTCTGCTGCCTTCTCCGCTGCTCTGACCTGCGCCTCCAACTGCGCCACCTCATCCGAGTACCTGAGGATCGTCATGGGGGACGGCAGCAGCTCCACGAGCTCACCCGAGGCCTTGGTCGAGCCTGACCGTCTGCTGCTCCGGGTCCACGAGGAAGAGATTCACCTGCTGTCCCTCAGCTTCCTCGTGCTCCCACCTATCCTCCTCCTTCCCCTCCTCACCCGCTCGCAGTCCAGCGCCTCCCGCAGCGTCGACTTTGCGCTCTCGAAGAAGCTGAAGGCGTCTCGATGATGGTAGGTGAGGGCCAGCAGAGTCTGCGGCAGCTGCTGGAGATCCAGCAGTCTGACGTTCCTCTCGACGCTCCTGAGGGTCTCGACCACGACGACGCGGATGAAATCTTCGAGGAGCAGCTCGTCGTGGGGGGAGAACTCCTCCTCCTCCTTGGCTCTCACGCACCTGCCACCAGCTGGTCAGAGCTCGTCAAGTTGCGAGCTGAGGTGACTGGATGACTCCCGTCACTCGGCGATCAGTCACGATGGGGCAGCAGAGCATGCGCACGGGGTCCTCCCCCTCCCTCCCCCTCGCCGCGTGAGAGAATCGCGGGTCCTGAGAGGCAGTCAGACCCCAGCTCACTCCCAGCTGACGCGGAGCCTTGTGGAGGTCGGCGACGCGGACGAGGGTCTGCTTGAGGGCCACGTGACCTATGACGGTGTCGGGGCTGCTGGGGATGCGACACTCGTTGCCGCCGGCGTCGACGGTGAAGAAGCTTGCCATGTCGCGATCCAGCAGGTAGGAGGAGCAGGCCGAGCAGGCCATGAGCTGCTTCACGTGCTGCCGCAACTCAGCGAGGAACTCGTTGAGGGACGTCAAGCCTGCGGCGAGTTAGAGGGGCAACGGCAGTCACTGGCGGTACCGGACAAGCGGCCAATGGCGTGCAAGAAGGCGCCATCGGCTCTGACGGCCTGACGTGCGTCTTCGAACTTGGACTGTCTGCAGGAGCTCAGCAAAGTCGGAGGAGACGGACTTGAGCCACTTCTCGTCCCTGCTGGAGGTCAACAGGCGGGTCGAGATTCAAAGCTCATCAACGCACTTGAAGGAGAACTTCCCGTTGCTCTTGTTCACCGCCAACATCACCCCCACGTGATTCCCAGCTCGGTCCAGCAGAGCTGAGCACAGTAGCGTCTTGACCTGCCCCGACACATCAGCTTGTCATCATCTGCCTCTCCTCGCCCACGTCTTCCTCGAGCGGCTTGTCGGCATCAGCATGGAAGTGCGGGACCGACAGCGGGTCGTCGGACGACACCATCTCCCCTGTCTGGAACACGTGGCCCACGATCCCCTTGACGCTGCTGACTCGTCTCAAGACTCCCACGGGGTCCAGGCAGGTCAGCTGCTTCCAGTTGGGGTCGAACTTGTACACGACGGCAGCTCTGCAGCTGAGCTTCTCCTTCACCCTCCTCTGCATCTGCCGGCGCATCACCTTCTCAGCTGCATCGATCGGAAGGCTCAGTTGGTCGCCCAGCTCCTGCTCAGCCAACATCAGCCACTCGCGTTTTCTCAGCTTCGTCTCGCCGTGGAGGATCTCGAGCATTGCTCCAGCGCCACTGCTAGAGCCACGGCGAAGCTGCTGACGAGCTCGAGCTCCTCCTCTCCCCACGCGCTCTCCTTGGAGGTCAGCTGGATGATCGCCAGGACCTTGTGCTTGCTGCTCACGACCGGGTACAAGATCATCGCCCTGGCAGCTGAGGGTCGTGCTGGGTCGGGCTGGACCTGGAGGGAAGTGAGAGGAGGAACCGCAGGGACGGCGGTCACAAGAGCTCGCGCGTCCACCGTGAGCGACTTCTTGGACTTGAGAACCTTGTGGCGGTGACGTCAGCAGCAGCAGCAGCAGCGGGGCGGCAGGCAGGCAGACCTGAGCGAAGAGTCCTTCGTCTTTGGGCATCGTGACGGTCCCCTGCTGCTCCTCAGCTGCAGCTGGAGAGGGTCGACGGCTCACCTGCCCTGCGACCTCGTTCGACTTGCGATCCACAGAGAAGATGTGGCCTGACAAGCGACTTGAGACTTGAGGCGGGCTCAGCTGCTTCCCAGCTCACATTGCTCAGCATCGAGCAGGTTTGACAGCGTCAAGGAAGAGGTGTGCAGGAGCCTGAGAGCGCATGAGAAGGAGAGGAGAAGGAGAGGAGAAGGAGAGGAGGGGAGCAGAGGAGGGAGGAGAGGGGGGGAGAAGGAGAGGAGACGGACTCACTTCTTGGCATCTACCTCCCTGAACATCGTCGTCAGCTCCCTTGCAAAGCTTCTAAAACGCTGCTGTTGCATCGAAGAGCGAGCGCAGGCAGCGACTCGGAGAGAGAGCAGCAGGTGGCAGGAGAGCGCGAGGGTCATGCTCTCCACCACTTGCTTCTCTTCTTGCGCAAACTTCGCCTGCTCCAGCTCAACTCCAGCTGCAACGTCTGCTGACTCACCTTGGAGAACCTCCGAGCAAAGGCGACCCCCTCCACTTCTCGAGTACTCCAGTTGAGTAGAGGAACGCAGAGGATGCAGGAGGCGAGACGCTGAAGGTCGACAGAGTCAAGAGGAGGCCGAGCAAAAGAGACGCCCTACCTTGTTGTCTGTCTCATACCACAACAACAAGTCCTCCTCCTCCTCCTCCTCTTCCTCCTCCCCTCCCCTCCTTGTTCTAGTCTCCTCCTCCTTCCAGACTCTGCGGCTACTCAGAGGCGTCGAGGTAGCGCAGGGCCACCTGTCCGCTACGAGGGCTTCCCCTGTCTCCATAACCACTTCCACCATCCGTGATCTCCACCGCTGACCATCCTGCCATGCGTCAGAGCCCAGGAGCGGCCCAGGAGCAGCCCAGCAGTTGACCTTCACGAGGCTCGTCCTGCCATTGACGTACATCTCATACTCCTGGCGTCTTGTCAGCTACAAGATGCTCGCGAGTCTTCTCACCGACGTTCCCCTCCTACGTATCACCCCGCCCTGCGCGTCCAGGCTCTCCTCCACCCAGCAGACGAACTCAGCAGACGCCGAGCTGAAATCTCGCGCGCCACAGATGCTTCCAAAGCAGCGCGACCCGCGTGCTGCCGCCTCTTCCACGCTTCTCTTGCTGAGATGAGCCCCAAACTTGCGGCTGCTGTCAGCAGGCAACTTGAAGCAGAGGAGAGGAGAGGAGAAGGCGAGGAGAGGAGAGGAGAGGAGAGGAGAGGAGAACCTGCTGGGCGACCTGCCTGAGCCAGTCGCTTGCGCCATCGCTCAGGGGTTCGCAACCATGGAGTAGGATGCTCCCCCAAGGGATCTGATCTAGGGGAGAGGAGATGACCGGAACTGAGATGCTTGTCAGCTCTACGTCAGCCCTGGTGCTCTCTGTCGCCAAGGGCCCGAGGCTGCTGCTGCCGTCAGTCAGATAGTCTGGTGCTTCTCCGCTTCTCTTGTGATGGAGGCGGATGTGGACATGCTGGCAGTTGACCACTGAGGTGATGTGACGCTCAACTGTCGACGTCATGCTGGCCCGATCACCCTCGCACGCCTTGAGCATTGTTCGCAGCTCAACATGCAAGTTGGTCGGTTGCGTCGCCCCAAGGTCAAGGGCAGACTTGTGTTTGTGATTGAAGTGACAGTTCTCAAGGACGCACACAAGTTTCAGTGCAATGAGCTGAAGTACAGCTACATCTTCCTTACTGAACCTGCTCGTCCTCGTCAGTCTGACTTGCTACTCCCTCAATCTCACTCACTTCTTGCCCTTGCTCCCCGCCACCTGGAGGGCCCCGATGCAGTCCCCGTCCTCGTCCATGAGAGGAACAACCAGCATACATGTCGGCTCTTCCTTCGAGCTTCCTCGTCCTTTGCAGTCCTTCTGGGACACGTAGCGAGGTTCTGCCAACAAGATCAGCATACGCCAGCCGCCACCTCGCGAACGTGGAGCGAGGTGGCGACGATTTCGAAGCTCATGGCAAGTCAGGATGCGAGCTGATTCACCTGCATTGACGTCGTTGCACAAAACAACTTGACCTTCCAACGCGCGAGCAAGCAACCCTTGTCCCCACCCTCCCACATGCCTGCTCATGTTGCCGTCGCCAGACACCAGCAGCCATTCCGCTTGGTTCCTCTCTAACACGGCAGCCGCCCATGACGATCGAGTCAAGGCCATCGCTCGACCTGACGCCCATCTGCTCGCAGCTTCTACTCCTCTGCTCTCCCTCCCTCCTCTCCCTCCCCACACTCCCTCCACCACCTTGACGACGCCCGCCCTGCTCCCTCCCTGAGGATCCTGCGCCATAATCGCCCCACTACCCCAGGCTCCATGACCACCCCTCTCTCCTATGAGCGGCTCATAACACCCCACCCGTCAGTAGTAAACCCCGGCCGTCACGGCCGTTCCGAAGTTCACCCCGGCCGCCGGCGTTACTCAGACGGTCCGGAGTCGGAACTTTCAGTGACTGAGCCCCCGGGGGCACCGCCCCCTCAGTACGGTCGGAAAGTTCCGGGCGGGGCCCGGACCGCCGTACGGACCGTACCGTGTGGCAGCAGGTGACCGAGTCAGTCGTGTCAGCCTGTGAGCCTGGCTTCAAGTCACTACGGTTGGCCCGGCCCGCGGCGGCCCGCGAGGGCGGCCGGAAGCCGCCATCATGTTCCATGGCATGATCATAGCGGACTCGGTGATGACCGATAACGCCCCCGGAGTTGCCGAGTTGATCTTCGGAACCACCGGGCTCAGCGGGAGCGCCGCCGGGCCCGGGGAGTCCGACAGCGGCTGAGCGGCGGCGGCGGCACTCAGCCGTCTACGCCGCCGCCGCGGGGCCGCCGAGCCTCGGACGGCCCGGACCGGACTCGGCCCGGGACCGGCCCGAAGCAGTGTACGGCTACTGAGCCGGGCCGGGCCGGGCCCGCTTCAACTGGCAAAGTTCAACGGTTGTCCGCGGCCGCGGCCGCCGCAGGCCGGACCAGTCACTCCGATTGAACTCAGCCTGCGACACTTAGTACTGCAGTACCGTACGGTAGTACCGGCAGTGTCCGAACGGTCCTCGGAGCCACCGGGCCCGGCGGCGGCCCGGATCGGCGTGAACCTGACTACTGTGCCGGCGCCCGGCCGGCGCCCGCCGCCGCCCACGGGCCACGGTACGCTGCCAGGCTGGGACCGCCGGACTCCGCCCGTGACCGTTAGGTTGTCCCCGGCGGAGTTCCACTCGCGGCAGCCTGTGGGCGGGCGTCAGGCTGTCCCGCCGGGACTCGGGCCCGGGCCCCGACTCTGAGTCTCATCACGCGTGAGCCCGGCCGCGGCGGGCCGGGCCTCAGCCTCGCCGGGGCCCGCCGGGCCGGGTGGGCAAGTCGGAACGTCGAACATAACCACATTCCACAATCAGCACGCGTCTCTAATGATGTAGAGGGGGTGGGGGTAGCAGAAACACAAAATCGGTATGGGTGGGTCAATCCAAGTACCCGGTCATTCAAGGAATATTTGCTATCAATGTCGAGGTAGGTGCTGCCTCACTTACCAGTGAGAACGAAGGGGTACTGGCTAAGCTTTTGAAAATAGTGGGTGGGGTGTGATCGAAGGGCTTGGGTGGGGTAAAAGTTTTGAGGTTAGGGTGGGAGTCTCTCTTGATGAAGGGGGGTACTTTTGGAGAATAGTACGGGTAGTGATGTGAAGGGGTGGGTATCTTAAGGTGGGTGAGGCTTATAGCGCTCTAGGTGGGGGTAGTGCAGTGGCAGGGTTTCAGAGCTGAGGTTGTGGGTGGTTCGGTAGATTGAATCAGGGTAGGGGTACAAATCAGTGTGGTAGGGGTAGTATCTACCTTCGAAATCCAATAAACTGAACGGCTTACCACCAGGGGTGTAATTCTTGAAATGGTGGTGGGGGTAGTGTACCACTAGCCGATGGTGGTTGTGGTAGGGTTATGTAGTGACAAACAGGGGTGGGGTAGTCAAGATGAGAAGCAGGAAGATGCGAGTCGAAACAGAAAACGAAGGAGGAGAGGAATGGAGGAGGAGAGAGGAGGAGAGAGGATGTGAGAGGAGGGTGAGTTCAGATAAGAGCAGGAGTGGAGAAGGGAAGAGGGCAAGAATGCACTCTCATCAGAACAAGTTCACAGAGAAAAGGTTGTCAGAAGACGAGGCGGTAAGAAGAAGCGGGTGAAATTAACAAACGAGGCGAGGAGAAGAGGTATCGATGTGCGAAGAGATCAGCTGGTAGTGCGCGAGGGCGAGGATATGAGAATTCTGAAGTGATTTACTGTAAGGAGTAGGCGACAAGGCATCAGGAGCAGAGAGGATGCAGATATGGACGTGGAAGTGCGAGGAAAGCGAGTAGTGAGCAAGCAGCATTTGTGATGTATGACTATGAAGCAAGTGTGTGTGAGTGTGTTAGAGAGAGAGTTCATGATGGAGACATGGTTTCTTGGCCTGACGCGTTTGTTTTCCAGCCATGGCACCTTCACCAGAAGCTGCGTCGAGGGAGGGCTCAGACTCAAGCAGCTCGAGTTCGGAAGATGGTAGCCCTCTGTGAGGTGCCTGTAGGTTGCTGATAGTGTTGCACAGAAGTGAAACAAGACCACTCATCTAAGACAGTGCCTGACTCATCAGACTCTGCCGAGAAGAAAGCTCAAAGTAAGGACAGGTTTTACAGCCTTGCAAGACTCACCTTTCCAAAGATGAAGGTGAAACATCGAAAGAGAATTCGAACGGCATTGAGAATGATGCCATTGCCGGCGAAAATGCAGAAAGCGTATTTGCTGAGATTCTTGCTTGCTTGAAATCATGCCTGCTTTCAGGCCGTCAAATCCTCGTCGGAAGACAAGGCCAAGGAAGGTGGCGAAAAAGGAAAATTGGATTCGGAAAAAGACAAAGAAAGCACCGACGTATGTGTATACTTGACAAGCACTGCTACCTGCTTTCATTGACTACATACTGTCTAACTTTTTATTTTGACAGAGCACGGCGAAGACGGAAAAAGCTCCGGCAAAACAAAGCAAAGCCGCGGAGAACAATTCGGACCAAAAAGCGTCAGAGAAGAAGACTTCATCAGCTTCAAGTAGCAAGAGGCGCGGTCAACTGACGTGGGTGCGCATCAAGGGGTATCCCTGGTGGCCTGGAATGATAGTTGAGATGGAAGATGTTCCGCCGCACTTGAAGGTGCTCTTTCCGATCGTGATGCGCGTCGCGATGTGATAGTCTCCTGTAGGACAATGTGCTCGATGCAAAGAGACCAGAGTCGGAGCTGGCTTACTGCTTCGGAGATCATATGTTTACTTGGTCAAGAAATGACGAGCTGAAGAATTTCGACAAGCACTACAACGAACTGTCGAAGAAATCAACCTCGAAACTCTTCAAGACAGCTGTGCAGGAAGCAAACCTCGAGAAAGAATCGCCGGGCTCACAACTTGCGGCCGCGTTTCCTCCTGAGTCGGACACGCTTGCGTTGATGTTTCGATCTGTTTGACTTGAGACCGCAGGGAAGATGAGGATCCAATTCCGAAAGAAAAAAAGAAATCAAGTAAAAAGAGGTTGCTATTGCTGATGTGTTGCGTTTGCTAGTTGATTGCAAACTGCGCAGGAGTAGAGTTTCGAATGATTCTTCATCCAGCGACTCTGAAGACGAAAGTTCAAAGTATGTAGCGTTGAATAAACGAGGAAGTGCTGAATGATATGCTTGGCAGAAGCAAGAAGAAGAAACAGAAACAAGAGAAGAAAGAAAGCAAAAAGAAAACCTCTGAGAAGCACAAGATTGAGAAAGAGGATGATGCCAAGAGCAGCAAGAAATCAAAATCTGAGACGAACTCGTCATCGGAAGATACTTCATCGAAAGCCAAGACTGGATTCGAGATTTTTTGTAACACGAATAGGCAAAAAGTACAGCAAGTGAGAAACTAACCGAATTTGCTCCGCCAACATGCTGACGTGTTTGAAGGCGAATCCAAAAGCCACTCCAGCGGAAGTGGTGATGGTGATGGTGAAGATGTGGCAAGGATTAGATCCGGAGCACAAGGAGAAGTAAGAGTCGGTCGTTGTCGAGGTGAAAGTGATGCTTGCATAGGTTTGAAAGAAAGGCCAAGAAAGAGGCCGAACCAAAGAAAGAGAAGCAGGAGGAAACTTCGGATAGCAAGACTGAGAAAGCAGCGGAAAAGAAGAGCAAAGACAAGGAGCTGAAAAAGAGCATGGTAAGCCTCTTGAACCCGTGACCGTTCATCTCATACCTCGCCTTGCCGCTGGTTCACTCGCCTTGTCTCAGCCCAAGAAGCCGATCATCGACACTGCAAAGGAGGAGTCACAGGAGAGCTCCGAGGACGAGGCTCGCAACCACGACTACTGCGATGAGTGAGTCGTTGGCTTCTGCCTACTGGGGGTGTCAGCTCACTGGGTGTTGCACGTTACAACGTAACCAACAGCTGTGGAGACGCTGGAGATCTTCTCTGTTGCGATGGCTGCCCGGCAGCCTATCATGCTGCTTGCATCGGAGTGGCCGACCCATCCAAGTTGCCTGACCCCTGGTAGGCCTCGTGGCTGCTTGTCGTTTGCCGTGTGACGGGCGCCAGGTACTGCAACGCCTGCAAGAGGCTCAAAGATTTCGGCAAGAAAACACCCAATGAATCGAGCAAGTGAGAACCACTAGCACGACTGAAGTGACTGGCGCAAGTTTGACACTCGCGTCGCAGGGCTCCTGCTCCACCTCCTTCCCTCCCTGCCTCTGCCCGGAGTTCGACTGATGACAGAGCGTCGGAAAGAGAGCGAGCGCAAGAGAAGGCGAAAGCTCCGCCTCCTCCAGCTCCGAAGAAGAAGGTTTACCTGGTTGTGTTTTACTGGAGCGTGAGGATCGCGACAGGTTTATGCGGACGGGGAGATAAAGATCCCGAAGAAAGCGAACTCAGGAGATTCAAAGCCCGAAGGAGAAGGTTCCAGCCAAGACAAGGTGGAATTCAAGAGCAACGACACCAAGTGACGAGAGATGTGAGAGCGCATGGAGGTGACGTCACCTCCTCTCTAGGCTCTACGTGGGCAACCTCGCGTCCGAAGCGACCAACGAGAGAGAGCTCCGTGACGTCTTCTCGAGGTCTGCCACGTCACTCACGACTCTCCCTCACTGCTTGTGGTAGGCACGGACAGCTCGCAGGGCCCGTAGTCATCCGCAAGAATTTTGCTTTCATACAGGTGTTTACAGAGCTTGTATCCGCCCGTAACTCTGTCACAGTTCAAAGACCCTGCTTCTGCTCGAAGGGCGATGAATTCGGAGCAGGTGAAGGAGGAGAAAGATGCGGGGAAGGACAGGGGGAGGAGGAGAAGGGGCTTAGGAGGAGAAGGGCGAGGAGGAGGCGGAGGAGGGAAGAGATAGGCTGACTCACTCGCCTGTGCAGGGAACGGTCATCGGAGGTCAATCGATCCACATCAAGCCTTACAGCGACAAGAACGAGCCTGCAAGAGTTCGGGAGAGGAACGATCGACCTGAGAGGAACGTCGCGCACGAGAAGAAGGCTAACAGGCCGGAGGGAGGCCGAAAGGAGGCGGAGATGGTAGCCATGCCGCCGCGAGTGCATGAGGATCCGTCGAAGCGAGTGAAGAAGCCAGTGCTAGATGCCCTCCTGCTGCGTCAGATCGACGAATGCGAGGTGAAGAGGACGTGGCATGCCTCTCCATGACTTGCCCGCCAGAACACTTGGAACATCGCCACCACGCGTGAGATCATCGAAGGCTTTGCCGAGCTGAAGAAGGTCAAAGAAGTCGACGACTGTCTGCGTGTAACCAGTTGAACCACAGCTGAAGCATGCAGAATACAATCAAAACATCGCAGATCTCGATCATAAGCATCGAACCGCCAAGGTCAGGCGGTCGGGACTCAAGGTCTCGGAGCTCTGACATATTGGGCAACCAGGTGAAGATGGGAGAGCTGCATCGCTTCAACCTTCAGAATTCCTCGGCGGCTGACTCGGGCTATCTCATGCAAACTCACCACCAGCAGTTCGCGCAGCTCGAGCAGGTTGAGCTTGCGAGCAAGACGTGCGGGGGGCGAGAGGGATGATACCTTGCGACCAGGAGTACCAGGAGGCGAAGATGGGGTTCATGAAACAGCATGCAGCAGGTGAGAGTGGTGAAGTTGTCGCCTGTTCTCACAAGCCTCGCAGATCTCGCAGATCTCATCACCCGCGAGCAGCATGTCATGCAACAGGTTCACCAGCCCATTTCCCTCTCCCTCCTCTCTTGCCCCTTGTCCTCGTCCCCCTCTTCCCCCTTCCCTTCTCTCTTCTCATCCTTTCTTGTTTCCTGCTCTCTGATTTCCCTCTAGCTTCGCATCCCTGGTTTTGTTGGCTGTGAGCCAGGAACAGCGAACGCTAGCGTCATCGAGCGTCAGAGTGCCGTCCTTGGTGAAACCTCCTCCCGAGCTCGATCCCAGCTAACTTAGCATATCATGCAGACTATATGATATCAAAGTTCCCTCCAGCTCCCAAGGCTCCTCCTCCTGCCCCTATGCACGTCGCCGCGTCTGTCTCCTACTCTGACCCTCGTCGGACGTTCCAGGGAGGCCAGGGAGGCTTCGGCTCAGGCGCGTACGGGGGGAAGCAGCAGCAGCAGCAGCAGCAGCAGCAGGGGATGGGCGGCGGGCAAGGAGACTATGATGTAGGAGCTGGCTCGTTGAAGGCAGAGAGAGCTGGGAGAGGAGACGCGCAGGGAGAAGTTGGGCATGAGGATCTGCTGGCGCTGCTTGGGGCAGTGGGAGGACAAGGAGGGCTGGGCCAGACAGCAGGAGAGGGGAGTGAACGAGAAAGCCAAGGAGCTCTCAAAGCAGCGGAGCCAAGCAGCAGCCAGACGAGGCAGGAGGGACAGCAGGGGAGGGAGGAAACGAAGGCTGAGCCAGCTCCTGCTGCCGAGACTGCAACGCTGGACATAGGGGACGTGCAGGCGCTGCTGTCACAGGTGACCTATCTGCTGCCCCTGTTGGCTTGTCTGGTGGGTTGTTGCTGAACCCTGGCCGCAGATTCAGAACGTGGTCGGGACGTAGGGAGAAAGAGGAGGAGGCAAGCGAGTGTACATAAGTCGCAGACGATTGGCAGGCAGACCTGAGACCGTCGAAGTGAAAAGAATCAAGTGAAGGAAGTGAAATGAGGAGGGCTTGCTTGAGATTGACTGGGAAAGAGGAGGAGGGAGGATCGCACCGGGCAGGGGAAGAGAGGGGGAGATGGAGACAAGCAGTGAGCAGGGACGGGAGAGGACGGGAGTGGGGAAGAAGGTGGAGTGGACGGATGAAGAGTCGGAGAGTGTGGAGTCGGAGAGTGTGGAGTCGGAGAGTGTTCAGGTGTGAAGGAAGGGAGTTTGTCTTGAATCAATCAAACTCTTCAGGATGGTTTTCCATCTGCGCACAAGAAGTTAGATGAAGGCAGGGGAAAAGGAAGTTTCTCACAATGTGCTTGAAGCGTCTCAGATCCGTCTGTCAATGGTCATGTCAGACAAGTGGAGTCGGTTGACGTTGTTGTTGCTGTTGATGTTGTTGTTGCTGTTGTTGTCGTTGCTGTTGTTGGAGGAGGAGGTGGTGGTGGCGGTGGCGGTAGTGTTGATTGAGATGATGATGATGATGATGATGATGATGATGATGATGATGATGATGATGATGATGATGATGATGATGATGATGATGATGATGATAGAGATGATGATGATGATGACGATGATGATGATGATGATGATGATGATGATGATAATGATGATGATGATGATGATGATGATAATGATGATGATGATGATGATGATGATGAGAAGGAGGAAGAGGAGGAGGAATTCACCTGCAACATCCTCTCGATCATTCGCTTCACCTTTCCCTTCCCGTCCTTGCTCTCCCTGCCATGCCATCAGCTCAAGGGCGACTTGCAATCTCAGGTCGACCGGAAAAGGAAGACAATCACAGAAGGCAGCGAGTACTCGATCGTCATCGTTACCCTCACCCCCTCCCTCCCTCCCTCCTCCTCCTCCTCGAACTCCACCCTCCCTCTGTTCTTCACGCCCGATGTCGCCTCCCACTGGATCAGCCTCCCCTCTTCACGCGGCAGCTCCTGTGCTGTCCAGGAGAAGGAGAGAGGCACGCCCAGCACAGACTTCTTGAGGGTCCACTTAGAGCTCCCGTCTGGCTGCACGTGCACTGAATGTATCCACGCCTGCCACTTGGGCATCTGCTCCAGATCCGACCACACGCGCCAGACTTGAGCAGGAGAAGCCTCGACCCGCACAGAGGAGCTCGAGGAGAAGTCGAACCCAACAAGCTCCGTCGCTCCTCCTTCCCTCCTCCGCCCTCCAAGCGCCGACCGCCGCAGCTCTTGCTTCCTCGCCTCCCCGAGCTGGCTGACTCGTGGGACAGGGGGGACGAAGGACGGCAGGAGGGACCAGGTGGATGTGAGGAACGCGCTGCCGCCCACAACCTACACGAGACGATGAGGAGGCGAAAACACGAAGAGATGAGAAGAAAGCAAAGGAAACAAGTGTACAGAGAAGTGTGTAGCATGGTGATGATTCCAATGAAGGAGACGAAGATGGAGACAATGATAGTGGGGATGATGATGGAGATGCTGCTGCTGCCGCTGCCGCTGACGATGGTGCTGCTGCTGCAAATGATGATGATGGAGATGATGATGGAGATGATGATGGAGAAATGATGATGATGGAGATGATGATGGAGATGATGATGGAGATGATGATGATGATGGAGAAGATGATAGTTGGGATGATGATGGAGATGCTGCTGCTGCTGCTGCTGCCGCTGCCGCTGACGATGATGATGATGATGATGATGATGGAGATGCGAAGGAGATCATGATGGTGACGATGCTTGTAGTAATGGAGAGCATGACATGTTTCAGCAACTGCTTCTGTTCACCTGCGACATGACGGCCATTCCTAGCAAGAGGGCCATTGCGACCTGCCGCCGAGCACGGGCCCGCACCGGATCGTTTTCACTGAGTCACTGGCAGCCGGGCGGCCGGGTGTCGGACGGTCTTCTTTACGTCAGCGCTTGAAAGCCGTCACTCAAGTAGTAGCCTCCGGGGCAGCCTGTACCGTCGTGAGACTCAGTCATGAGTCAGGCTGCCGGGCCTGCCTGACCGCACTCTCGACAGACGAAGCCTGAGGGGCCTTCCTAGCTTCGGAGCCGTCTTGCTAAGCCGGGTCCCGGAGTCCTCCGAGGCTCCGATGATGTCGCCGGGCCTGGCCCATGCTCAGTTGGGTTTCACATCCTAGCATACACTGTCTATCTCTCATGTGCTACTTTGGCACAGTACAAGTCTAACAAACTTGTGCTCCGTCAGATTCCGGGCGCCCCGGCGGCCGCCGGCTGTCCCGGATCCCGCTCAGCGGCCGCGCCAGGCTCAGAGTCAGGCGGTAGGCTACCGTCGTGACCACACGTGACAGCGGCCCTTCCGCCGCCGGGAACTCACTGGCTTACTTAACCGTCACGGTACGCCGGTCACCGGGTACTGCCACGGTGGGGCCAGGTGCTAGTACTGAGTCACTGCGTGCAGGACCCTGATTCCGGGCCGGGAGTCCCGGTAAGCCACGGCCGATCATGCGGCATTCAAACTTGTCACTGCCACGGTTACGTCAGTGTCCCGGACGCGGCCGAGCGGCGCCGAAAGCCTGCCACACTCCGAGCCGGAGGCTCAGCCGGAGGCTGTCACACCGGGCCGGGTGATCGGACCCACCGGCCGATCATCACATACCACTGATGATCATCATGATCGTCATCGGCGATCATGGCCGCGTGACGGGTGACAGCGGCAGCCGCACTGCAGTGCGGCGGCAAGGACACGACCGTACCGGGTCAGGCCGAGGCCCCCGGCGGGCCCGGCCTGAGTTGACCGTCCGGGCCGGCGGTGAGGCCCACTGGCGGCCGCGCCGCGCCACGTCCGACCGGGATCCGGACCGCGGCGGCCCGGCGTAGTACCGTGACGGCCCACTACTACGGTGACCGTACGCCGACTCGGTGACCGGCGAGGCTTGGCCTCAGCCGACCCGGCGGCGGCGGAGCGTCTGCCGGGAGGCCGACGCCGTGACGAGTGGAGACCCATCATAGTATGATCCAGCGCTGCCGTTTCCCTCCGAGGCTCAGTGTTCGCCGACTCAGCGCTCGGATCCGCCAGCAACCCATGGACTGGCCAGTGACAGCCCGGCTGAGAAAGCCTTGGCGGACTCGAAGTGAGAAGCGCAACGCATCCGCCGGCCCAGGCGGCTCAGCCGCCTGGGCCTCAGCCGCCCGGCCCAGGCGGCTCAGCCGCCTGGCGGCTGGCGATGATGCCATGATGGGCCCGGAAGAAAGGCCGCTTTGGCGGGGCCGGGGCGTGCTGAGCATATGCCGCATGGCATAGTATGCCGCCCATACCGTATGATGCCCTTTGATGATCTTTATAGGCCACCTCTGTGCTGCAGTGCTCAGCAGCTGCTTGCCGCTGAGCCGGCCCAGGCTTTCGGCCTGCGGCGAGTCGGAGTCCGAGGCCCAGGTCCGGTATGAGTCCCGTCACTGAGATCGGACCTCATCAGGCAGACGTCGGTTCAAGTGAATCTTGGGATCTCGGTCTCTATAAGTATTATACGTTTTGGGACATGGGCTCTATAAGTATTATAAGCTTTATACAATGGGTTTTAAAGGGCGAAGGAGACAGAAGCGCCAACTGACCAGTTCCCCTTCACGAGCGGGCGACCTAACCCCACCCCCTTACACCCTCTACCCTACCCCTTCTGTAAGGCGCAAGTATGGGTTACATGCACCCCTGTTCTTGGCATTGGAGTCACGATCCCTCGCTACTTTGACAACCCCTGTCTCCGTACCAAATTCGATGGTGCACGGGACGTGGGGTGGGACACAGGTGGGGTGAAATCTCCAGATGAATTGGGGGGTGGTAGGGTGGTATCCGGGAGAGTTTTTATGTTGAATTTATCTCTGATGGCGCACGGACCAGGCGTCAGTGCACGTTACCAAAGATCCGAAAAGACTCACTTTCAGACGCGAGCATGGATGCATGGGTCGCAGACTACCAGAAGTTTTAGTCACATTTCAAACGGGGATGAGGGCCGAGGAAGCGGCCGAATGGATATGCGGACGAACGTCAAGGAGGTAGGGGTACTTGAGATGAAAAGGAGGGGTGGTCAGGGTTGCGGTATTTTTTTTGGCTGTCAGTGGACTGTCTTAACACCCCACCCCCTCTTCTACCCTTAAGTACCCCTCCATCTCCGTTGTCGGGGAATGGAATTTCCAACCACGTAGGGTATTGGAAGGGGAGTAAACGAGGGGGTAGGGGTGGGTACTGAGGGGAGGGGTGGTTATAGCAAGGGATGTGGCACCTGGACTTGGGTCGCCACCGACCCCTCGAAAATGAAACGGGTACCCAGTACTGTAGGGTCAATCTCAACACCCTACCCAAAATCCGTACCCCCACCCCATTTATGTATCAAAAAACCTATCAATGACCCACCTATTTGATGGTCGATTGCATACGATCGACTTCATCACCCCACATATATAATGACCCTACCCCTATTTTGATCGTTTTTTTCCCTACCGCACCCAGCATGTCGATCCCTCAGATATAAAAGGGGAGGGGGGTAGAAACCTTCGTCGCACATTACGGGGGTGGACTATCTGAGGGGGTTGGGGTGGTGAGAGAAAGGGGTAGACGGTAGGGTGGTTCAATTTTCTCTCTTCATCTGTACAAGAGCGATGGCATGTCGACACCAGGAGGAGGACGAGGAGGAGGACGAGGAGGAGGACGAGGAGGCGGAGGAGAGAACGGAATGGGAGGATAGCGGAGGAGGGAGGAGGTGCAGTGAAGATAGAGCAGAGGGATAAGGAATAGTGATGGTGCTTCTGATCTTGTTGGGGAAGGGGCGGTGATGGGCTGATAATGATCTAGTTGAATTGTTTTGATTCCCTCAGAGCTACATGTCCTACCTTGTCGGCCATGTTTGACATGCTTCTCAGGTCGTTACCATGTCTTCATACTCCTGAGCCTCGAACCCTGGGGTGCTCAAACTCTCTTTCCTGCGTGCGTGAAAGCAGAAGGACGAGGACGTTGTGCGGTCTGTCTGGTGCATGCCAGGAAACCCGTCGGTAGTCATGTCATCCCACTCGGCTTCTCTCCATGATGAGAATACCTCTACTTCGAATAGCCATGAACCCAGCAGGGAGAAGAAAGACGTCGCCATTGCCTCTTCCTTCCGGCCATCGACGGCTTCGGAGCAGAACCTTAGAGCGCGGCTGACCAAGGAGTCAGCCATCGCTAAGGCCGAGAGCTCGTCGTTTGTCAACAAGTCGTCCAAGTCGAGCTTCATCCACTCCCCCGACAAGGGCTCGAGGCAGGGGAGCTTTCGCATAGACACCGCCGACAAGAAATGGTCGCTGGGAATGATCCGCTCCGAGGCCCCGGGGGTCGTTCTGTTCATTGCCTGGTGCTTCATGTACGCGCTCGTACTTTCGGGTGCTCGGCAGCTCTCGGCGTACTGCAGGCAGCAGTCAGCGTCAGGCACGAGGAACGAGCAGGTCATCATGGACAAGGCCAAGTTCGTCAAGGTGATCCTGAGTTCGGTAACATGCCAGGATTTGACTCTCTTCCTCCTCCTCCTCAGGTGCTTGCTGCTTTCATCTTTGGGATCTGTGTCGTGATGGATCTAGCGGGGATGATCTTTCAGGTGTGCCGCCCTGCCGCTCGTTCCTCGTTCTGACGTGACTTGTGTCAGGTGTCGGCGAAGAAGCGGCCGCTGAACAGCTTTGCTCTCTTCATCAACCTCGTCTCCTTCATCGTGTACGTCTCTACCATCTTGGACTACTTCCCCCTCATGTTCGACTTCGACGGCAACCCCGTTCAGATCCAGTTCTACGTACAGTGGATGAACACGACCCCGATCATGATCCTGATCCTAGCTTGCCTTGGGACCTCCATGCAGGACGTCCTTGTGCAGGACTGGGGGGTGGTAGTGAACGCGATCCTGTGGGACGAGACGATGCTTGTGCTAGGGCTGGTCCAGACCATGTTGGGCTCCAGCATCATCGGCTGGGTTTGCTGTGTTTGCTCTGGATGCTGCATGGTGGTTGTGTTCCGCCGCATCCATCAGATCTCCAACGCGAGCGTCAACAACGCGGCGACTACCTACGAGATCGCTTCCCTCCGCGGCATCGAGTGGTTCACCTACATGTTATGGTCGCTCTTCCCTTGCGTCCACGTGCTCTACTTCCTTCGCCGCATCGACCTTGTGCAGTACGAGATCATGCGAACCTTCGTGGACGTCGTTGCCAAGGCCGTGTACACCGTCGCGCTCCTGACTGGCAACTTCTGCATTCTCGACACGGTGGCGACGCTGAGGATCAAGCAGCTGCAGGCGGAGAGGGACAGTAAGGACAAGACGGTGCTGCGGGCTGAGGTGATGAACCGAGCGCTGCAGATGGCGTGTGTAGAGGCAGAGACCTCCGCTCGCCTCTCCCGTCGATTCGTCGCCAACATCAGCCACGAGCTCCGCACGCCCCTCAACTCGGTCGTCGCCTTCAACTCGCTCCTCCTAGACGCCGACGACCTCAACCCTGTCCACCGCGAGTACGTCAAGTCCTCCCTCACCTCAGCCGAGGCCCTGTTGGGCATTATCAACCAGGTGCTCGAGTACGCGCGGCTTGAATCGAAGGCGGACGGGTCGGAGAGCGGCAGCAGCCGCCAGGACCTGCTGCCATCGAGCATCGAGCTTACGGAGAAGCCCTTCTTCCTCGCCGACCTCTGCGACGAGCTGTGCGACATCCTGACGGCTCGCGTCAACCTCCGCAAGGTTGACTTTGCTATCGAGCTCTGCACGGAGTACAAGGGGGGGAGCGTGCCCTGCCTCTACGGCGACAGTTTCCGTATCCGCCAGTGCCTCATCAACATCTGCGACAACGCCGTCAAGTTCGCCAAGGACGAGGGCGGGCAGGTGGTGCTGAGAATCGAGCTGCTCGAGGAGGCGCCTGATGGCTCCGCGTTCTTGAGCATGGAGGTCTGGGACAATGGGGAAGGGATTCCTCAAGATCAGCAGGACCTTCTCTTCAAGCCCTTCTCCCAGGTTCTCTCTCCTTCTCTCCTCCTCCTCCCTCCTCCTCCCTCGGCTGGCTGGCTGGCTCTACCTTGCTTCTCTTTCCACTGTTCCCTTTCATCCTTGTCAAACTCTCCCCCTCCCCCTCCTCGTCCCCGTCCCCCTCTCTCACCCCCCCCTCTCTCTCCCTCTCCCTCCCCCTCTCTCACCCCTCCCTCTCCCTCTCCCTCTCCCTCTCCCTCTCCCTCTC